GCTAGATGTTTTTTTTTTATTATTTGCCTACAAATATAAATCCAGAACGTCAGCATTTCTTTAAACGAGCTTATTCCCAGTGGGTGTGCTGCTCTCAAAAGCTCTGTTCGTAAGCCTCGGGAATAAACTCCGAACCCAAAGAATCCTAAAGGCGCAGTATTCGTGCTCAAAAATATTTTGCGAATCAAGAGCCAACGAGTTTCGATGATATATTCTACTCAACTCCCCATCGTTGTGGTGTGTCCACACAGCTAAATGGTACAACTCAACCGCAATAAAACAAAATATTTAATGTAAAACATATTTCCATTCAAAACACTTTATCAACCAATAAAATAAAATAGGACATTTTAAAAAATGTATTGTACCATCTATAATAATAATTTACATGTATTTGGGGCCTTCCACTAACGTCTCAATATCCCCTTGTTTAAGCATATGCACATAATTATCGGTATAGATGTGTGGAATAAATATCTGATCTTTTAGTCACAACATGATGCATATTTCCTTCGGTTCAGAACCTGGCAGTCTGTCAAAGGGCTGGGCTACTAGGTGCGGCACATCCTCGAGGATATATCTCCTTCACTCTTTCCTTCAATATTCCCTTATGTCAAGTCACAAATACAAGACACCAGTGTACAACAAACACAGCTTAAAACTACATTTTCAGCACAGCAATTCCCCCGATTCACGTCTCCCGCTTTCATGTCGTTTCGCAAAAACGTCGTCACTTGATTAACACTGCTACTACTCTATTTGCCGCGCCTCAACGCACACTCAAGTCGCTCACAGCATCGTCCGTCCGTCCTCGTATCTGTCGCCTCTCAGCCTTCGCCTCCACCCACGGCCCTGTGCACCGCTTCGATTGACGTCGTTTCGATATTCGTTGTCGCCCCTTTCAGGAATTCATCCCCGACGTAAACCGGGAAATTACTGTACTTACACATCACCTGGCCACAATCCATGTGCTCGTACCTGTAACCATAACGAGTGACTCGCCACACGGGATATGTCCGATCATATGGTCACAGGATCGCACTACACAAACTCTCTCCTGAAGTCCTCTCGTGGATAGAAGATCATCACATTGGTATTTAACTCCTGTACATATTGCCATAAGCAAGAAGAGCATAGAACCATACTGCGTAAGCTAGGCATGTCTTTACTTAGTTTATATAGTACTAATACGACACGTGACTGCTGGTAAACAATTGGTAAAGGTGCAGCAATGCAATTCCTTGCTCACACCACTGCTGGCAAAATGGGCCTCCGCTTGTGGAGAGCTCCAGAGACCATTCATGAGAGGGTATTTTGTCCAACTCGTCCACGATTGGTCAGATGTCTGGGAAGAGGGGGGAGTACCCACATTGTACCCAGCCACGTGCACACTAACGCTCGTACTTCTGGGTGCACAGAGGCCGGAGGATTTAAGCAACTTTCCCATTGTTTCAGCTGTCGAACCAGCAGATCGGATGATGCAGCGACCTCTGGGAATGCGAGTCCAGTGTGCGCACCACTCTATCATGCCAGTGTTCCTGCTGCCATCCGGTTATTTCTGTGGGCATTACCAAGTCATGGCAAATGTCAAAGTTGTCCAAGAAGAGAGCGACACTATCATTTGCAAGCGTAGGCCATTAAACGCAGAGGCCATGGCTTAAATCCCAGAGTTCACCCTTTCCCATTCCAACACATCTGCAAATTGCAGGGTCGGTGGCCTGTTCATCACCGAATCGCGGAACGCGCAAGCGGTTAGCGTTAAATTATATTTAGAGAGGCATAGCGTCGTTGTTTTTAAAGGCGTCGTTGTTTTAAAAGGCGTCGTACTTACCGCAGAGAACTGTTGCGACACGACCGCACTCTATGACAGCCGTCGCCAAACTGTGCCACAACGCCGTCCCGCATGGCCTTGTGGGCGCCTCGGTACCGATAAAGTTATTTTGTTGGAACGGAACCGGAAGAATAACTGATGACGTACATGTATATCATCCGAATGGAAAATGGTTAAAAAGTGTATGAATTTTAACCTTAATGACAGCAAGTAGGCACATAACGATGCACCAATTTGGTGATTAAATTAAATGTAAATGCTCATGACACGTGCAAAGCATACAAATCATTTTAAATTCGCACACGTATATGTTGTTGGAGTTGGTTAATTTTATATGTACTGCAATACGCTTCCAGGATTCACTAAGCCTGCAGCTGTCACAGCGGTTAAAATTATTTGTATTTCTCTCAATTTCAATGGATTATCTTATTAGTCTTGGCCAGTAATAGTTCGTTCAGGCTACACGGGGGATCTTTGTCACTAGGGTGTCTGTGTGCGTGTGCACCCCCTGTGTGTGTACAATTGTGGTCACTCAATGCGCCCCCCTTCTGATAAGCAAGCCAGCATCAGAACTCAGGCCAAGTGAAAATAATTCACTTATTTGTTCCTATTTATGTTATTAAATGTTTTAAATATTACACAGTATTTATTACATCGTTACATTCAAATGTACAATATTTATCATTATTTATAAGTTCAACAATGCTCCTCTTTTATGTTTAACCATAACACATTTTATAACACTGACCGTGTGTGCATTTAAACACAGTAAAGTATTGTGTTCAAACTCATAAACCGTTCGACTTACGAACGGGTCTCAGGGACCGGGGCACGTTCGTAAGTCGAGGACTACTCCTATTTTTTTCTGGAGCTTCTAAACGCCCAAACACCCGGGGTTATATTTTCCGCAAAGCCGTAATTATAATACATATTTGGGGGGACACCCCCCCCCCCAATATTCAAATATGCTCAAAATGCCCCCCCTCCCCAATATATTGCGATACAAATTTTTTACTATGTTATGTAAATAAAAACAACAATTTGCTCAACCTTGGCCACAATATCTGGACTTGTCTTCATATAAATCAATGCATAGATTTCTGTTTATATGATTGTGGTTATGGTTGTATTTTATTAATCCCTAATCTCTGCCATTGCATACAATGAAACAATAAATGGTCAAAAAAAGTATAAACAGAGCTATGTAATACAATACACTATTAGGCATTATTGTAAAAAATAAATAAAAAGTCCATCCCATGTGTTAGTGAATTATTTAATATTTCAGGCAGGAAATGAGTTTTCAAATTTAGATTTTTTTTTTCTGGGTTGGGACCCCCAGACACCCTGGAAGATTTGGTCCCCCCCAATGTTGACTCCATGGCTACGGCCTTGATATTCCTGTACCTAGTCCCGGGCAGCTCCGGTTACAAGCGATCCGTGCCCTGCCCCGACTCTCGCCCCCTGCATTAGGCCCACCTGAGTTGGCCGGTACCACCTGGGGTGGCAAATGCTTCTCTGGTCTCCACCATGGGCAAGTAACACCTTGAGCAGTGTCCACCATGTGTCCACCATGGGCAGATAGCATAGCGTACTTACCTGGTTCATTGATACACTTGTTAGCGACTTTCATATTGCTTAAATGTTTCACATCACATTCGTTTGTTTTCCCCGCAAAATTATATTCTCCATCAAACATACGGTACCTTCCTTAATCCTGTACACTGTCACCATATTGTCTTATAGAATGCTACCAATAGGACCTTGCTATCATAGGTATGTGTGACCTTACGATGACGTTCCACAAGAAAATCATAATGAGCATTTGCCACCCACCGTGGTACCGAAAATATAATTTACTCACTCATCGACCACACGCTCACCGCTCAATTTCACTCAAACTCACCAATCACTCACTCCACACTCACCCATCACTCACACCACACTCACCACCCTCACCCATTACTCACCACACTCACCCTCACAACTCATCCATCACCCTCACCACACCCACCAATCACCCTCACCACACTCACCCATCACACTCACCACTCTCACCCATCACTCACCCATCACACTCACCACTCACCCATCACTCTCACCACACTCTCACTCACAACTCACCACACTCACCCATCACCCTCACCACACTCACCCATCACCCTCACCACACTCACCACACTCACCCATCACTCTCACCACACTCACCCATCACACTCACCACTCTCACCCATCACTCACCCATCACACTCACCACACTCACCCATCACTCACCCATCACACCCATCACACTCACCACATTCACCCATCACTCACCCATCACTCACCACACTCACCCATCACCCTCACCACACTCGCCCATCACTCACCCATCACTCTCACCACACTCACTCACAACTCACCACACTCACCCATCACCATCACCACACTCACCCATCACCCTCACCACACTCACCCATCACCATCACCACACTCACCCATCACCATCACCACACTCACCCATCACCACACTCACCCATCACCATCACCACACTCACCCATCACCATCACCACACTCACCCATCACCCTCACCACACTCAGCCATCACCCTCACCACACTCACCCATCACCCTCACCACACTCACCCTCACCCATCACTCACCCATCACTCTCACCACACTCTCACTCACAACTCACCACACTCACCCATCACCATCACCACACTCACCCATCACCATCACCACACTCACCCATCACCATCACCACACTCACCCATCACCATCACCACACTCACCCATCACCATCACCACACTCACCCATCACCATCACCACACTCACCCATCACCCTCACCACACTCAGCCATCACCCTCACCACACTCACCCATCACCCTCACCACACTCACCCTCACCCATCACTCACCCATCACTCTCACCACACTCTCACTCACAACTCACCACACTCACCCATCACCATCACCACACTCACCCATCACCCTCACCACACTCACCCATCACTCTCACCACGCTCACCCTCACCACACTCACCCATCACTCACCACACTCACCCATCACCCTCACCACACTCACCACACTCACCCTCACCACACTCGCCCATCACCCATCACTCACCACACTCACTCATCACCCTCACAACTCACCACGCAGGGCACGTGGGGCTAGCAGCTCACCTTGCCCGGCACCCCGCGGTGGTCCGTGCTGCCCTGCCAGAACCTGCGGCTGTAGTCTTTGATGTGGCCCACCAGCTGGGTCTCAAAGGGGAAGTCCACCTTCCACACCAGCGAGCCGTAGCCGAAGATCCACATGGCTCCGTGTGGTGTGAGCGGTGAGTGAGTGGGGAGTGTGGTGTGAGCGGTGAGTGAGAGTTGAGCTGATGGGCCGAGTGAGTGGTGAGCGTGGAGCGGTGTCCAGCGAGTGAGTTGTTGTTGTTGTTGGTGGTGAGGCGAGCGATAAGAGACGTACAGCTGCCTGTAAGAGGAGCGGCAGGCGAACTGAGTGTGATCGTGTGGTGAGGAGTGTGGCGAGCTGGGTGTGAGCGTGTGGTGAGGAGTGTGGTGAGTAGCGAGTTGTGTGTGAGAGTGTGGTGAGGAGGAGTGTGGTGAGCGGAGAGACGCCGGGTGAGGGCCGGCCCCGTGGGCCGTCTCAAATCAATAGAGCGGATCCGCCCCGGGAAGCCCCCGGCGCCTCACGCGATTGGTCCGCCCGGCCAACGAAGAGGCGGCCGTGGGTGGACGATACCATCTGCCCGCTACATCAAGGGGTGAAACATTCGATATTTAGTCATTTATTTTTGTATTATTCAAGTAGATTTATATCATTAGATGATGTATTAAAATGTATAACTAATATTATATAATATGCAACGGTTTAACGTTAATTTATTTTCCGTATAATTCGTTATTTGAAATTACACCCCAACCGCACCCCCCCGTAAATATCCATCAGTTGGCTGCGCCTACCGCGGTTGAGGGAGCGGACTACGAATTTAAATTGGGTCTTCACACCCCTTCAGATGCAGTGGAACCGGAACGGTCCAATCGGGTGGGTGGGGGAGACTGACCCTCCTGACCCTCCTGGCATTCATCTCGCACGGAGAACTCCCCAGGGCCCCCTAACCCCCAGACACGCTCATGACGGTGGGAAATTGGGGTGGGTGGGTGTGGGAAACTCTTTCTGGAGCTTAGCCCTGGACAGCTCCAGCTCAAATTAAGCGCTGGCCAGACCCAGGCTTTTGTATTTTATTATTACACGCTTTTATTTAACTCACTCCGTCTGTTGTTGTATCCTCGAAAACATCTTGTAACTCAATTTTTACCCACTTCCCAATGTGCTACCGACTGCAAACTTGGTATACTTATGTCATACTGATGACAATACTATATTCTATCATAAAATAAATTTAAACAATCTTTTTTTACATGTTATGTTTCGGCTTGGATCTTATTGTCCACGCTCAACTAACGTTGGCTGTAAATCACAACGGTCTCTTACGTTATGGCAAGCTTCGGGGCCACTTCCTGGAGTTTTGCCATTACTCGTACGGTACATTTCATTAAAGCGTGTTTAAAAAAAGTGTTTTAAAATATTACTTATTTCAAATTGGGTTGTATGCATAATAAAGTTTTTTGGGTTAGATCGCGTAAGTATAAATGTGTCGTAACCCTCCACCACCCGACACAGACAATTAGTAAGGGATTTGTTACGTAAACAAAACGCCAATTAGTTACTACTTCAGCCCGCCGGTGTGTTGGAGAGTAAATCCAACATCTCCAGAGAAGCACTGTTACTTATTGTGTTTTTTTTTACATATCCGATTAGCACGGTTGGTTATGTACAGTGCGAAAGAAGGTCAACATTTTTCATACCTACAACGGACATTTTTTTCCTTCCTTAATTTTAGTTCAAATAATAATGTAGTCATCCTTTATATAAATTGTTTACGTTTTCTCCGGTTCTCGATTCCCGTAACATGCAAAACACGTTGCGATGCTTGCTGTTTGTATCGTGATCTGTGTAACCATGACTGTAACGAAGATCTGTACTGTGATTTATGTAAGATCTGTACTATGTAAGATCTCTACTATGTAAAATCATCTGTACAGTCACAGGACGCCCATGAAATATAACCTGATAGCTCATTGGGCCTTTCCTGCTGGAATAAATAAAATATATCTATCAATGAGTCTCAACACTTTAAGAAAGGCCCTGTCTTGTGGTGTTTGGCCAATACATATTAATGTTTAAATCTTGCTTTCTTTTTCCAGTATTATTCCAATTGCATTGGTTCATGCTACGAGATTGTGTCATTCCAAACTCTCAGAGAGTAGTGCATCTCCCCATGTGTTAGAGAATGTCCCACAGAAAGAGATATAACTAAACTACTTCTGAGATGCCATCAAATCACCTTCATTATCGACATGCAAAAAGATGCATGTTCGTACACGCTCTGTTACAGAAACATGTTCCATACATGGTATTCTAGCAGCTATTGTTCATTCTCCACGGTTGAATTTGACAGGGCATGAAATGTTATTGTTTTTTTTACTGAGAGTATAGACTCACTAAACTTGAAAAACTAGTTTAATGATCTTCTTGGTTCTTTCGGTAAAGTCACGTACGTGACTTTACCGAAAGAACCAAGAAGATGAATCCCTGCAGTCACGAAAGCTTTAAATCGAAATTTAGTTTAATGATCTCAGCAGAATTGGCACATTGCTCCGAAACATTAAACAGAACTCAGTCAAACTATACTAATAGGAATTTTATCCTTTTTTCAGGCAAAAAAACTGACACCTTTTGCAAGGAATCATGCTTACATTAACCACAATACTTGCAGTCAAATGCAAACAAAAAACAATACTCTGATAATGTATGCATTGTCTTTGAAATTGATTGGTCCACACCAGAGACAGCTTTCTTTGGAGCCTAGTCTCATATGGTGTTCGACCAGATGACGCCAAAAGGCACACAGTTCAAAGACAACGCACTACCAGAGTAATGAGAGCTCGGGGTGAGCAGCTACATCATGGGACCTCCTTTGCCAGTACCAAAATATACTAATAGGAATTTTCCCCTTTTTTCAGGCAAAAAAACTGATACCTTTTGCAAGGAATCATGCTTACATTAACCACAATACTTGCAGTCAAATGCAAACAAAAAACAATACTCTGATAATTTATGCATTGTCTTTGAAACTAGGCTCCAAAGAAAGCTGTCTCTGGTGTGGACCAATCAGTTTCAAAGACAATGCATAAATTATCAGAGTATTGTTTTTGTTTGCATTTGACTGCAAGTATTGTGGTTAATGTAAGCATGATTCCTTGCAAAAGGTGTCAGTTTTTTTACCTGAAAAAAGGGTAAAATTCCTATTAGTATATTTTGGTATTAGCAAAAGGGGTTCCATGATGAAAAAGAACTCAGTCATCTATGGTCGCCAATTCATTGTTGGATGAATGCTTTCCAAAGCCCCCACCATCTCTTATCATCCAATGTGTGGAACGTCTTTTTTTTAGTGTTCAGAAAAAAACCGGAACAATAAAAGTATGCAAATATTGGTAGAGCAGGCTACGAAGAGTAATCATTGAAACCTTACGTAATATCATTGTCAGTGACGTATAAGCACACAGGACCTCACCAACGATAATAACCACTTCAAATTATGCAATGGCATCTAAAATGCCTTGCAAGAAACGACATATAATTCTAGATTTGAAGCTTTCGTGACTGCAATGATTCATATTCTTAGGTTTTTTCGGTAAAGTCACGTAGGTAAAAAACATTAAAAAGTAAAATAAAATAAAAATCACGACGTTTCGGAGGCAACACATGGTTATATAAACGGAGTGGTAGCTTCTGCAATCTCTCATTTACTTGATACAGCTGTCGTGGCTGTGACGGTACCAGCTGAAGACGGAAGCTTGTGTTGCCTCCGAAACGTCGTGATTTTTTATTTTACTTTTTATGTTTTTTTACCTACGTGACTTTACCGAAAAAACCTAAGAATATGAAACGACATATAGTAGAACGTCATGATTGTGTTAGTACTGGCTTCATGTAAAAAATCAGAGAGCAGACTGTCATTATTAAAGAACGGCACTTCTTCAGACCAGAGACAAGGGAAATTGCGCAGATAAGTAACCTACTTCTCTACGTATATACAGTGTATATGTAAAAACATAAAATTTCGATTTAAAGCTTTCGTGACTGCAGGGATTCATCTTCTTGGTTCTTTCGGTAAAGTCACGTAGAAGGAAAATAATAAAATAATAAAAATAAAACATGATAAAATAATTCTCACGACGTTTCGGCCACAACGCAAGCAGCCGTCTTCAGGTGGAGAACAGGTCTGTCGAGAAGGCAGAGTCTGACTGCATTCTGACTCTTATGTTTAATTTTTATTATTTTATTATTTTCCTTCTACGTGACTTTACCGAAATAACCAAGAAGATGAAACATAAAACTGAATACATTCGTAAATAACACTGCATTAAAAAATAAAAATGTATAATATGTAACGACTTGGGATATGTTCCTTCTTCATAGCACTGCCCGAAACATCACCTATTATGAGGCACTGTTATTGACGGATATGTTGAGGTTGTTTTTGTTATTTGTGATTTTGCAGCACTGCCAACACAGTGTGACAGCATGCATTCTCTACTCCTGCACAGATCTCTGTTAGAAGGCAGTGTTCAGGGGAACAGTGGCAAGTGTTTGTTTGTCTTTCTGCTGCACCGCCTCTCTGAGGTAACTCACTGCCCTGCAGGTGATGTCAGCGTGATGTTTTTAATCTTGGGCACCAGTAAGCCGTGCTATGGAAATTATGTGCCCAAACACAGCAGATGTAATACCAGGCTCTTTATTTATTATTGGGGCCAGTCAGTAATGTGAGTTTGTGTTTAATTACCACTTCAATGTGCTCAGAAAACATTGCCAATGAAACAGCAGGCAAGTGGCCCAGTCTGTCCGCCCAGCGGTATCCATCGGGGTAGCGCGCGGGGGGGGGGGGTAGCGCGCGGGGGGGGGGGGGGTAGCGCGCGGGGGGGGGGGGGTAGCGCGCGGGGGGGGGTAGCGCGGGGGGGGAGTAGCGCGCGGGGGGGGGGGGCGGGGGGGGGGGCGGGGGGGGGGGGCGCGGGGGGGGGGGGGGGGGGGGGGGGGGGGGGTAGCGCGCGGGGGGGGGGGGAGCGCGGGGGGGAGGTAGCCGCGGGGGGGGGGGTAGCGCGCGGGGGGGGGGTAGCGCGGGGGGGGGTAGCGCGCGGGGGTAGCGCGGGGGGGGTAGCGCGGGGGGGGGAGGTAGCGCGGGGGGGGTAGCGCGGGGGGGGGTAGCGCGGGGGGTAGCGCGGGGGGGGGGGTAGCGCGCGGGGGGGGGTCGGCGGGGGGGGTAGCGCGGGGGGGGGGGAGCGCGCGGGGGGGGTAGCGCGGGGGGGGTAGCGCGGGGGGGGGGAGGTAGCGCGCGGGGGGGTAGCGCGGGGGGGGGTAGCGCGGGGGGGAGGTAGCGCGCGGGGGGGGTAGCGCGGGGGGGGTAGCGCGGGGGGGGGGGTAGCGCGCGGTGGGTAGCGCGGGGGGGGGGTAGCGCGGGGGGGTAGCGCGGGGGGGGTAGAGCGCGGGGGGGGAGCGGGGGGGGGAGGTAGCCGCGGGGGGGGGTAGCGCGCGGGGGGGGGTAGCGCGGGGGGGGGGGGTAGCGCGCGGGGG